GATACAGAGGATGAACTAGCAAACAAGCCTGAGAAGGAACAGTCAGACAAGCGTGAAGAGAACCAAGAGAATCAGTGTCATAAAAGCCCGGAGAGGAGGGACTAACCAGGAAGAAAGAGTAGTCAATAGCCTATAAAACCTAATGTGCTATACAAAAGTTAAATACAAAGTGGAGTAGAGGAAATAACACTGGACTTAAAGTCAAAAGAAATCAGGGTTCAAATACTGTCATGGAAAAATCACTTTGCTTCCCCTCCAGTCTCAATTTCCTCATCTGTAAAGTGGGAATGATAACACCTGTAGTATCTACCTCACAGAATTATGAGGATCAAATGGGGTCATTTAGATAAACCACTTTGAAAATGCTAAAGCACTAAATAAACAGCAGCTTTTCTTATTTAACTTGTATCATGAAGTTGGTAAATCGAAAAATGCTTCTTTTAGAAAACCTGAGAATACAAAAATAAGGAGGCTATAGAAAAAGCTAAAGATGGTTAATTGAAATTACAGTAATTATGTGACTAACAAAAGAAACCCAGATAATTTACGCAAATTTCACTGTGTTGGCAAGTGACTTATGGCAGGAATGGGTGACTAAATTTGCCGGTGAGAAACATTTGGGATTGCTTAGGAAGTTGAGTGGGAGGGATGGGACAGGTGGAGAATGCAGCAGCCTGCCAAATCGGACTGAGCAATCCAGGGAATTCTTCCCTGAATTCTCTCCCCTTGCCTTCGGACATGTCCAGGTTTCCTCGTCTTCAAAACAAAATAAGCCTTGCTTAATGTTTTTGCATCCTTCAGTTACTGTATGTATTATTTCTTTCCATTCTTTCACTGAGGAACGCCACACTTCGCTATTTGATCCCTCCTTAAGCCCTGGGAAACGGGGTTGTTAAAACAGATTTATTGAACGAACCGACCGACTTTTTGCCAAACCTTATTTTCAGGCTTCCTTCTCCATGACTTCCCTGCAGTATCTAACACTATGTGGCATGTGAGGTGCAGTGGAAATAACAATGAATTTGGATTTAAAAAGCCTGGGTTGGAAGGTTAGCTGTGTTACTACCTTGACCTTGAGCAAGTAGTTTAACGTCTCTGGGCCGTTTTTTTTTTCTTCTTCCCCATTTGTAGCACGTGATCCTTAAGCGCTCTAGCTCTAAATACTAGGATAACTCCTTCTCTAAACGCTTTCCTTCTTTAGGTTCTATTTCGCTAAATCATCCTGGTCTTCTATCCAATTCATTAATCACTCCTCAATCGGTTTCTCTTTTCCATCCTATCTCCTACCATCTCTTCTAGCTGAGAGCTTTTGCAGTCAAGCCCTCTAATCTTCAATCTTTCCTTAGCTCATTCCCAGTTGCCTACAAACACCCCCAAGTATCTCCCAGTTTAAAAAAAAAACCTTCATCTGACTCTAGCATCCCTTCAAGCTATCTTCCTTTATCTCTTCTCTTCCACAACCAAATTCCTGGAGAGTGAGGGGAGGGGAGTGGGAAGAACTGTCTTACTTTATTGCCACCATTTTCTCTCCTCTCATTCACTTCTCAACTCCTCTTAACTTACTTATTGAGGATAGAACTATTTCTCTATTTAAAAATTGTTCTATTTAATAAAAATGTGTCATAAAACGCAAGTTTTGAAAAAAATGTTATAAATCCTTCAAGAAGTAGATTTCAAGTGGGCCGGATATTTATTGAAGTGATTAAAGAAAAACATAAAGGTACTTAAAGCAAATTAACTTCTATACAAACTTGAACTTCAAAATGTATGTTAGATAAATGGAGAAATATAGAGAAAGGGGGGGGAAGACTTCTCTTGATGTGGAAAAGGGATCAAAGGATTGTAAAGTCATTGGGATTTTGGACTTGAGTGGATGCATTTTCATGGTTTGATATCTTTTCCTGACTTCTATAAAACCAAATGGAGAAGAATGCATGTTTTCCCTTTTGCACAAAAGATACAGAGAAGGCAGTGTAAATAAGGAGCTAGCTCTCTGCTGGTTAATTGGCATTGTTCAGAATGCAACTGAGCATCAGCCTTCAGGAGAAATAGTGTACTGTCTACTTGCCTCAACAGCAGTGGACAACTTATGAAAGAGAAGTCATGGAAATCCCCTCTCCAAAGCTATTACAAAGTCCCAGTGCAACTGTCCTAGGGTCAAGAGTATAGCATAGACTTCCAATTTAGCTGTGACAGAGAAAATTATGATTGATTTAAGTGAAGAGAAATTACAGTTGAAATTCAGTTAAGAAAGTGCTATATTTAGTAGGTCTTTAAATTTTGCTATTATTTCTATTTTTATTTAAAATACTTTTAGAAGGCAGTAATTAGTGTTTAGTCAAGTATCCTTGTTACTCAGGAATAAGTTTTCTTTTTATAGCAACATAACTGAGTAGAATTGTTAGTTAGCCACACCTGGAAGAAGCCAGCTGATCTGCCCATGCAGCCAAGAACCACCATTTTCTTGGTGGTTTGTTGTTATTTAGTTGTGTCTGCCTCTTCTTAATCCCATTTTGGGGGTTTCTTGGCACAGATACTGGAGTGGTTTGCCAATTCCTTCTCCAGCTCATTTTTACAGATGAGGAAACGGGGGCAAACAGGGGTAAGTGACTTGTAAGCTAGTAAGTGTCTGGGGCCAGATTTGAACTCAGGAAGATGAGTCATCTCGACTTCAGGCCTGGCACTTTATTCACTTTGCCTCCTAGGCGGTACTTAACTATGGCACAGTTAGTTAGTACCAGGAGGAGGAGGAAACAAACATCCTTACAATCTAAACTCATAAATTGACATCACTATAAAGTAACTGCACATGTCATATTGTTGATAACACCACCATTCTCCCAGTCACCTGGGTCTGAATAATTGCATCATTTTGCTAACTGGCTTTAGGATTGTATATTATAGAATATAGAATGGAAATAGAACAAAGAGACAAATCCTTCTTGTCTATGGTCTATTCCCTCCAATCCACTCTGCATCCTGCTATGAAGATAATCTTCCTAAAACTTTGTTTTCTCCATGCCATTCTTTTGAACCTATACTACTAGTTCTTTAATTCCTCTGGGCAGCTAGTTGGCACAGTGGATAGAGTGCTGGGCCTGAATCAGGAACACATCCTCCTGAGTTCAAATTTGGACTAAGACACTTACTAGTTAGCTGTGTGACCCTGGGCAAGTCATTTAACCTTATTTGCCTCAGTTTCCTCATCTGTAAAATGAGCTGAAGAAGGAAATGTCAAAATGGCAGTATTTCTACCAAGAAAACTCCAAATGGGGTCACAAAGAGTTGGACATGACAGAAATGACTCAGTAACAACAAAAAATGCCTCTAGCCTAACTCTTTAGGTTGGCAGTCAAGACCCTGCACAATCTAACTCTGTCCTACCTGTCTAACATTTCTTCTACTACTCCTCAAAAGCCTCTGCTCCCACCAGATACAACTTGACCCTGCCTACAAATATGCTACCTTTGTTTCATAGCCTTTATTCATGCTATTTCTACAGCCATTTGCCAATCCAAAACCAATCCAACTTTTAGACCTCAGTTAAAGCCTCTTTTCTTATAGGAGGCCCAATACTTCTAGTCCTGAAGGTTGTAGTCAACTCTTGTCTGCACTCTGTCTGCCCTGCTCCCTTGACCCTTATAGTTTTTTAGCTGCTATCTTTTCATATTTTCTCATTTCCTTCAACTAGATTGCAAGCAGCTGGAAGTAAGGGCTACATCGATATTTCTCCTTTGTCTGCCTTGGACCTTTGCTAAGATACAAAGAAAATATATAGAGTCCAGTGCTGAAAGACTGAATTTTGTGGCTCCCAAATCCCCAAAGTCTGACTTGGCAAGCAACAGAATCAATGACTTAGGAATCACTGGGTCATATGTCTAGAACTGGAAGGATCTGAGAAGTGATCCAGTCCAACCCACTCATATTTGCGGATGATCTAAGAATTGTGACTTTCACAGTGTTACATAGTAAATGGCAGAATCCAAATCTGAACCTATCTTCTGACTATAACTCCAGTAACCTTTGTGCTAAACTATATTAATATTGGCATAAATGGTCAACTATGTTTCCAAAAACCTTACTCTAATAAGTACCATGGACTCCAAAGCCAAATCGAAGAAAAGGGATATTTGTGTCCTAAGGAACAGCTCCCATATGAACACCTGTCCATCTCCATACTCTTAATCTTGGCTTTCATTATGGCTCTCTTCTGCTGCATTCACCCCATGCACCGATGGGTACTCGAGATATATGCATTCCATTGCTTACAATAGGAGATGAGGTGGGGAGAGAGGTCTGGAAGTATGACCTCCCCGGTATAACTAAAGGAGGCGCGATGCCAAGGAATCCTTGCCGCTCCCTATTCCTTTTGCCTCCTCTGTTCATTTTATGCTCGCGCGGGTAGGGAAGTGGGGGGCGGGGATAGGGGCTATCCTGCCTCCCAGAGGCCCACTATTCCTTGCATATGAGGGGGGTCCGCTTTCCCTAACCATTGGCTCACCTACCCAGCCCTTCTCCAATTAGTTCCCGCCACCTCCCTTCCTGGACCAAGCTTCTTCATCCTTCACCCTCTTGTGTTCCCTAGCTCGGGCCTCCACCTTCGCCCCTTGGGTTCCCGTCAGTCCCCTCCAGCGTTTCCTGTCCTCAGGTCAGGGGGCGCAAGGTGCGCTCCGTGCGGGGGTGGGGGAAGGAGACGGCCTCACCTTCCCCCTATCCCAGCTTTGCCCTGGGAGTGAGTGTCTTGGCCCCAGTGTGCGGGCTCCGGGCTGCGGCCTCGCGCTCCCGGGGCCCTCCGCCGTCCGTCCTGCCAGTCGGCTCCCCAGCTTCAACCCGCGGGAGGGGGGAGAAGCAGCGAGCGGGCCGGGTCTCCGCCTCCGCCTCCTTCCTGCACCGTGCACGCCCACTGCGTGTGTGTGAGTGTGTGTGTGTGTGTGTGTGTGTGTGTGTGAGAGAGAGAGAGAGAGAGAGAGGGAGAGAGCCAGCGCGCGCGCACACACACACACACACACACACACACACACACACACACACACACACACACATACACACACGCACGCGCGCACTCGCGGGGCGGGGAAGCCTGGATCTGCTAGGAGAGCGGAGCGGCGTCGGTCACTCCCAGGACTTCGCTCCGTTCCCGGGCTCTCCTTGGGCTCCGGCTCCCGAGGGCGGCGCGCCCTGAGGCACGCAGGCGGCTCCCAGGCTTGCTCCAACCCACCGTCCCTCCCCTCTGGGGACAGGATGAGGGGGCTCGTTCCGCTGACAGCTCGCCAGCGTTTCTGAAACCGGAGGACAGAGGGGAGAGCCGCACACCCTTTCTCCTGCCGCCGGGACCGGAGCAGAGAAGGAGCCATGAAGCCCGCTCCGTGGAGGATCCTCCTTTCGCTGCTGCTGTGGCTTCTGCTGGAGGTAGGGGCTGGGGACTGGGGCTGCCCGATAACCTTCGCAGATGTGTCCTGGAAACGCAAACAATAACCCAGAACTGAGCGGTGGCATGGCAAGTTCGGGGACCGGCTGCCTGCCTCGCCGGTCGTCTGGGACAACCCCACCCCGAGGACACCAGGGCGTTGGTTTGGAAACCGGGTCTCACCGGAGGCACCGATATCTGGATGCATGTATGCCAGCCACTTTATAGGCTAGCTTAGGGTCTCTGCTGAGACATCCTGGAAAGGGGGTCTGCCATGCCTGACTCGTTCCCCGACTCCTCTCTCCTCCCCTGTAGCCATCCACCTCTTAGCGGAAATTCTGCTTTATTAGGGTTTCTCGTCTCCTGTGCGGAGGAATCAGGAACCTTTTTGGAAAGGAAAAATCTGGCTGGAGCTAGCCTAGGAATGAGTATTTTGAGCTGGGAAGGTGAACAGAGAAAGGCCTTCTCTTACCTAGAGTGTAGGGGGGGCGGGAAACTACTATCTCCCCCCTCCGAGGCATCCCAGGGAGCAATCTTGTGGATAAGGTGTTTAAGAAGTCCTTTTCCTATTGAAACTGACGTGCCCTGAATTTCGTCTGGTCTCTGTGCGGTTGGTTCACCTCGGGCTTGTTGAGCAGGTGTACATTTAGAGAATTTCAAAGCGATTCTGCTAACATATCTCCGTTGAAAGTAAGAGGGGGAAAAAACCCCCACTAACCAACCCTGCATACTTATTAAAAAGGAAAGCTGCCAGTTGGAGAATGTGGCCAGAAACCGGCACAGAAATAGAAAAAGGCTTGTTGCTCTGTGGAAATTGACTCACTTAAGTAGTGAACATATTGAGCCACGTTCCTTTTCTTGGAACGGATTGAGGTTGTAAGCTTCCTAGCTAAATCTGATAAGGCCTGCGCACAGATTGAGGTTAGGGCTGGCTTGGAAGTTGGATCCCTGTTTGGACACCTGCCCATTTGTTGGAGTGCGTTCTCTAAAGTGGGCAGGAGCCAGAGCTCGGTAGGGATGGAGTGTCTGAATTAGGACTGCTGAATTAACTTTGTTCCCAGCTTCAGTTATTTCAGATGAAGCGGTAGTTAACATTTAAACTCAAACGGAATGGAAAATAAGGGGCACCCTAACTCTTATTGTATTCTGTATTGTAAAGCATTTCAGGAAAATTGCAAAAACTTTTCTGCTTTTTGTGAGAGTCTGAGTTCATTCTGCAAAGGACTAGCTTTTCCCTCCTTTCTCCCTTATAAAATAATATTTTTGTATTTTGAGAGCAAATCTTAGTTCTCATGAAAAGACTAGTCCATCTGGTTTAAACCAGGCAGGTTGCCATAAAAGTTTCTCCCACAGATCTCTGACAGCATGCTCCTACTTCTTTCTTATCAAAGACTTCCCTGTTTTGTTTTGGTTTTGGTAGAGAAAATGCCCTCCTGGCTTTTTTTTTTTAATTACCGTGTGTGTGTGTGTGTGTGTGTGTGTGTGTGTGTGTGTGTGTGTGTGTGTAAACACATGTGTTGTCTGGTTGTTAAGATTTGAAAACCTAGAAAGCTTATAGCTTCAGTGAACTCACAGGTGAGTTTAACCAAGAAGAAAAGAGAGAGGCAATTGTTTAAATAAAACTTTATTGTATATATGCATTATGCATCCGTGCACACTTCACATTTTAGGCCTTGGGTGAATTAATCTAGCATCATTTCTTCTTTGAGACCACCTATTAACTCCTTCCAAGTGAGTAGTCAGTTACCCTACTACCATAGTCTTATCAGGAATACAGTACTTTTCCAAAGTATTTTTACTGGAGGGAAATATACCAGAGCCATCTCTGAAAAGAAAGATAGAACTAGCTCTAGGGCAAAGCAGTGCAATGATAATACCCTCCAAATGAGAAAGGCTGGCAAACAAAGCCCAACATCTGGTTCTTTGGGAACTTCTGGAAGATTGACTAAATTTTTGGCCCTATCCTGGATAATGGTGGATTGTTGTGTTGACAGATTGTAAATGATGATAATACAAACTCCTCAGCTTGGCATTTAAATCCCTTCCCAATCTGGCTTCCATTTACCTTTCCAGACTTATTTTGTATCACTCCCGTTCATGTATGCTGTGTTCCAGCCAAACTGCACAACTAATTGTTGCCTCCCATCTCCTGTCCCCATGCCTTTGGACTGCCTGCCCTCCCTGTCTGGAATTCGACTGACTCTTTGTTCTTAGAATTTCTAGCTTCCTTTAAGGCTCTTCCTTAGGTGCTGTGTCCTAATAGAAGCCTTTCTTAATTTCCCCCTAGATGTAATTGCTTTTTTTTTCCTCAAGTGATCTCATAGATACTTATCTGCTTACGTTTTGTATCCCTTAGTGGAACGTAAGGCCCTTGAGGGCAGGGACTTAAAAACAGTGATAGATAACAGTGTTTATTCTAGAATCATCTGTACCAAGCTGAGTATTTTGCATATAGTAGGAGTTTAATTGGATCCTAAGTTTTATAGCTGGCAGGTATGTTAGAGACCACGTAGTCCAACACCCTCATTTTACTTATGAGGAAACTGAGGCAAACAGAGATTGTGTGACTTGTCTAGGGTCACACAGCTTAGTAATTGTCCAAGGCCAGATTTAAACTCGAATCTTCTCGACTCCAGGCAAATAATGTATATAAAGACTTTTGGAATGCTTCTTGCTGGGTTTTATTTAAGGCCTTACACTTGATGTTTTATATAAATATACACACACATATACATATAAATTATATTACATAACATGTACTGTGTATTATACATACATACATATTTCATGTGTTTATGTATGTGCAAATGTATACATACATATATACATATATTTTAAACTGGGTATAATTTTCTCTGTTTCTCCACCCAAAATCTTACATGATTTTTAAAATTAGAAATCAATCACTTAAATCCAATGTACAAGTATAGTTACTCTTAATATGCTTGTTATAGGGAAAGGGCCCTGGTCATAAAGTGGGGGTAAGAAATAAGGGAGGGAGGCAATACAATTGCTTGTGCTTGCCATGGTTAAAAGCAGCAAGTAGTAATGTAGAGTTCTGAGGAAGATTCTGTTCTCTTTCCATTAAGCCCAAGCCTAATGGGATCTCTAACCAAGGTTGGGTAATTGGGGATTAGCCCCAAGGTGCTGAAATTTAGAGGAGCTTGGTGGTAGTACTTTCTACCTTTGACTATAGCACTTAATTAGCAAGCATGATTAAAATAAAAATGAATGAATGAATGAATCAAAACACATTTTTAAGCGCTTACTATGCCATGCTAATTAATAGGGATAAAGCTATTCAAATGACCACTTCATTCCCCCATTGGCTACCCCCTTCCCCAATGAGCTTTTCCTTGGCATGATCCCAACTCATTTCCCCTCCCCATGACTTCCCTAGCATCGGACTTGTGGTATCCCAGAGTCTCCACCCCCTCAACTGAATTGAGGGTGTTTTGTGGGGTGTTACTTTCCTCTGGTACAAACATTGCTAGTTATAGCTCTGGAGAAGATCATTCACCAACAAGGCACAAGGGCACCCAAGATTTAAAAACAAATCTGAAAGCACACAGATGCAAAATGTATATTGTGTGGACCTGGAGCCAGCAGGCTTGGAAGGGTACTCCTGTTCATGAAGAATGGAAGCCACCAGCTCCTGGGAACCTCACCCAGTTTGTTTGTCCTTTATAAAGGCTAGAGCAGATCATTGACAATAATATTACAACCTGAGGACTAACTGAGTGTTATTACAGAAGTGAAACCCCCCTCCTCCAACCCCATGAATTCTTCAGCTGCTTAGGAGTTTGGTAAGGGCTAAAAGTCAGCTTCCTTTGCTCCTGTCCCACTCCCTCCCTTGCCCTCTGGGCCTTGGCCACAACTCCTCCCATAAGCGAGTGGCCAACTGCCTCCTATATTTTAACTGACGGTGAAATCTAGATCTCTGTTCTAGATCTTGAAGCTTCAATAAAAATGACATCCTAGGGTAGGATGTATTTGTCTATCAGATAACTAGGGGGAGTCAGCCTAGATTGAATGTGCCTAATGTGGGCTTTTATCAGTGAGTAGAGCTTTTGGGGAAATTGTTATTAAGTTCCTACTGTATGCAAGGTATAATGTGCTGGGCTCCAGAAGAGATGTCCCCATGAAGCTTATAATGATCTAGGAAGTGAACCAAGACACACACACACACACACACACACACACACACACACACACGCACACACACAAATAGAATACAGGGGCCAAGAGAAATCTGGGAAGAAAAAGAATATTTCTGTCTGAGGGGGAACAGGGAAGGCTTTGTGGATAATACCTTGTCAGTAAGTGGACAGTAGACAGAGGGAATGTCCATGAAGACCTCAATTCAAATGTGGCCTCTCTGTTTGCCTCCATTTCCTCATCTGTAAAATGGGAGTAATAATAGTATCACCCCCCCATTGTTGTGAAGATCAAATAAGACAATAATTGTTTTTTAAAAAATGCACTGGGGCAGCTAGGTGGTGCAGTGGATAGAGCACTGGCCCTGGATTCAGGAGTACCTGAGTTCAAATCTGACCTCAGGCACATAATAACACTAGCTGTGTGACCCTGGGCAAGTCACTTAACCCCATTGCCTAGCCAAAAAAAAATACACTTAGCACAATGCCTGGCACATAGTAGATGGGGTGTGTGTGTGTGTGTGTGTGTGTGTGTGTGTATGTGTGTGTATGCTTATTGCCTTTCCCTTTCACTTACCTGAGCAAAGTCTTGAAGTATGTGTGGAATTTCAATAGCTACAGATTTGAAAGAAGTGTATTCCAGGTTTAGGGAATTTCTTTAAAAAATAAAACCCACAAAAAGTTATCTCTTTTGTTTTAATATCATAGTCACTTTTCAGGTATCACTTTTTTCAGCCACTCTACCCCTCCAATTGAACCATTCCTTGTTAAAAAGATTTTTTTTTTTAGCAAAACCAACCATATAGAATAATCCTGTTTAATAGTGTAGACCATATTCCACATCC